GCTGCCTGTCGTGTAGTCAGGCTTGACTGTCCATTTCTGTTTGATAATGCGCTGGGCCAACTTGACCGTGTCCAGCTTGTGTTTTCCTTAGTTAGAAAAATATATTTTGTTTCCAACTTGCTTCAAGGACTCATGTCTGGGACAGACTGGCCCAGTCAAGGACCCATTTAACTCCACTTGCTCCCCTCACAACCCCTCCCCTCCTTCTCAGAATGTCAAACAATTCCTTTTAAGTAAACCTGCTTGACAATATAGCGCATAATTCTTGTATTCCGTGTAACCAGTCATGTAATAGCCTGCTATCAGCTGTGTACTTCCCACTCGCAAACCCTGTTTAAACTGAACTCAGCCTGACGCTGGGCTGCTGATCTGAACCTCTGCGTTCCCCAGCCTGCTAGTGCTAGCGTAATGAAAGTTGCCTTCTGACTCCTGGGTGCAGAGTCTTCCATTTGGATTGCTATTGGTTTTTCCGCTACACTTGTAGCTTTGTTCCTGGCTCCCAGCTCCCCTCTTAAGAAGCAACCATTGTTAGTATTTTCTCAAGTGTCTTTCATGTTACTTTATTGTCCATCACCTTGTCATTTGTTTTAGGTGCTTTTTGGTAGACAATATAAGCCCACATCGTGGGCTTTGTTTCTCGCTCTCTCTCTCTCTCTCTCTGGTTGGGGGTAGGACAGGGTCTCACTGTGTAGTTCAGGCTGGCCTTGAACTCACTATGTACCCCAGGCTGGCCTCAAACTCATCCTGATCCTCTTGTCTCAGCCTCCTGAGTGCTAGGATTACAGGAAGAAAAGATTTTTAAGGGGCTATACTACAAAAAAGGAGGAGGAGGAGGAAGAGAAAGAAAAGGACGCCCATGCTTGCTGTGTCTTGCTATGTGGTGCCGTTCTTCATGGCTGTTGTAGAGGTTGGCACACCCAGGGGGACAGGCTGAGGGTGCTCTGGAAACGCAGGGACCAGGTTGGCACACAGAACAGCAATGACCTCTAGGGGGCACTGTTGCCTAACTCCACGCAGCACCCTCAGGCATTTCATCCCCAGTCAACCACAGGGGGTGTTGCCTGTTAACTATTTAGGTTTCCTTTTGAAAATCCCATTGCATTTTTGAATTAAATTTCTCCTAAAAATTCCCAACCTGTTTCAAGTGAACTATGAAGAAAGTTTTGTTTTGTTTTGTTTTGACAGGGTCGAGTTATGCAGTTCAGGCTGGCCTTGAACTCACTATGGAGCCCAGGCTGGGCTTGAAATCTCAACCTCCCTCCTCCCTCAGCCTCTCCCAAGTGTGGGGATTACAGGTGTGCATGATGGTGCCAGGCTTGAACTGGTGGCAGTGTTTATGTTCCCTGTGTTTTAACCACAATTCAAAAAGAAAATGAGCGTCAGCTTTGCTGGAGCCCCAAATTACTTTTGTTTATCTAAAGTTGATTGGACTTTCAGCTACTGACTAGCAACAGCCATTCCTTCAACAAATATTTATTTGAGTATTTGTCATGCACCGGTTACTCATCAAAACACCTGAGACAAAAGGAATAAAGCAAATAGAAAGCTCTGATTTTCACAGAGCTTACATTCAGGACTGACTGGCATGTAAGATTCATTTGGAAATCTACATGCAGATACAGATAGTCCCCACCTGCAAAGGTTTGAGTTTTGTTTTGATTTTTTGAGACAAGGTCTTGATGTGTAGTGCAGGCTGGCCTTGAATTCACCTCAATCTTCCTACTTCAGCCTCCCAAGTGCTGGGTACAGACACGCTCCAGATGCATGCAAGGTTTGAGTTTTGTTGTTTTTTACTTTATGAAAGTACAAAAGTGATATTCTGTATTTTTTTAA